CGGGCTTCGACGAACGGTACATCGAGAGCGCTCGTGGCGTGCGCCAGGGGGACCCACTGGGGCCGATGCTCTTTGCGGCGGCCATACAACCAACCCTATTGAGGGCGGCGGCGATGTGCCCCAACACGGTGGTAATGGCGTACGCGGATGACATCACTATCATCGGCGCGCCGGCGGAAGCGATTAAGGGAGTGAACGTCATCGCCGAGGAGCTACGCAAGTGCGGACTGCGGTGCAACTTGGAGAAGTCATCGGCGTGGTGCCTGGCAGGTTGCTCGGATGTTCTCCCAGAGGGACTGAGGGCGGCGGTCGACGGGATACGGGTGCTAGGAAGCCCGGTGGGCACCAGAGAGTACGGGAAGAGGTCCGTACGAACGACCCTGAGAACGGTGGCGACGCCACTGAACCTCATCGGCAAACTGCACCCGCAACACGCACTCCTCCTCCTCTCGAGATGTGTGTCGAGACGCATCTCGTACATGCTCCGAACCACCCCAGCAGACACACTACCACTTGTGGAGTGGAGGGACTGGAGTGAGGAACTGCTGTGGACGGCACTCAAGGCGGCAAAGATGCAGGCTCCTACGAGCGAACTGGAGCAGAGCCTGGTATGGCGCCAGGCCACGCTACCGGTGCGCCTCGGGGGCTTGGGGCTGATAGACCCGCTCTCCGAGGCACCAGCAGCATACCTGGCCTCCCTCCACGCAGCCAACACTCTCCTCAGGCACACGACAATGACGGCAGACAACCCACTGCAGCAGGTGATGGATTTGGTGTCACCGATGGGAGGAGCTCAGGGGGCAGGGGCAGGAGGGGTGACGCTAAGTGCCCTTCGGAACCGGCTCCCAGAGCAGGCTCGGGAGGTCCTGAAGGAACACCACCAGAAGGGGGAGGTGAAGGGGCACCTGCAGCTGATCCTCTCAAAGCTTGTAAACCTAGACAGGGCGGCCGAGCTCGTGGGAGACACAAGGGCGGACAAGCCCGGGGTCGACAATGGACACGTGATCCGGCTCATCAGCCTGCAAGGGGTGGGGGCGGGAGATTGGTTGCATGCTATCCCTACGAGAGGTGACCTCACTTTCTCCCCCGGTCAGTTTGCAGTGGCGCTTGGCTTCCGGCTAGGTCTGCCCGTGGCGGTCACGGAAAAGTGCCCCTGCAAGGGGAAGCGGTCAGACATCGGGGACAGAAGCCTGCCAAACCACCTGCTGCGGTGTGCCGATGGTGGGGACAGGACTAACACTCACAACGCTCTGGTGTTCGCAGCGCTCCGGATGGCTCAGGAAGCGGACTACACGACCTTGCACGAGTCAGCAGCCTTCTCGCCCATAACCAACCAAAAGCGAGCGGACTTGGTGATTCGCGACAAGGAGTCCAACGAGACCTATGTCACTGATGTGACGGTCACGGACCCTGTCCTGCAGCGGCGTGACAAGAGAGCGGTAAAGGCACCGGGGTGGGCGGCAGAGGACGCGGCAAGAGTGAAACGGGGCTTGTACGAGGGCCGCCCGGGTTTCGTAGGGGTGTTCGGTCTGGCGGTGGAAACCTACGGGGCCCTAGCTAGGGACACCCAGCGGTTCTTCCGCCTCCTGGGCACCCAGGCTGCTAAGAAGAAGCACAGACAGGGGAGGCTCACTGCTGTAGCCTCGAAGTTCACGGCGCACTACCGACAGCGATGGTCGGTAACGCTCCAGCGTTGCCAAGCAAATGCCCTGATGGCCAAATCCAACAGGGCACTTGAGGCAGCGCACCCACAGGCAGCGGCTGACCCGTGGGAGCCAAGCCTCGGGGACCTGTGGCAGGTCCTCGAGGATGACCTGGCCCAGCTACTCGACATGGGGGAGTAGAGGGCCGGGTCAAACCATAGGGGCCCGCCCAACCACAGAGGGCTCCCCTCGGCTGGGCAGGACAGGGGGGGATTGAGGCGCCCTGCAGGAGGATGAGCAGGCCAGCAATGATGTAGCAATAAGGACAGGTGTGGTGTCTACGCAGCCGAGCATGGCAAGCCGGCCCAACATAGGCCCAGATTGTGATTCTGTTCTTTATAAACTTGCATGCCTAGGCCAAATGCTTGTTAGGATTGCCGTTGCCTTGCCTGTACCCTATACACACGTCAATGCAGGACTGCTTGAGAGAGAGAGAGAGCTGGAACAGAGCCTGGTATGGAGGCAGGCGACACTACCCATAGCATTAGGCGGCGTGGGGCTGATAGACCCACTGTCGGAGGCGCCGGCGGCCTACCTTGCGTCACTAAGAGCAGCGCAGATGCTACTACAGCAAATGCCGCCCTCACCGAACCACCGGCTGCAGCAGGTGGCGGCGCTGGTGTCACCACTGGGAGAGGGAGCGGCGGGGAGCGGAGGAACGACACTTTGGGACCTACGGAACACACTCCCGGAGGAAGCGCGAGAGCTGCTAAAGGAGCCGGGAGACAACAGGGGAGGGAGGGGCCGTCTGCAGGAGCAACTGTCACGGCACATAAACCTGAACCGAGCGGCGGAGCTGGTAGGCGACACTCGGATCGACAAGCCCGGGGAAGACAATGGCCACATGGTCCGGCTGATTATCCTGCAGGGGGTAGGAGCGGGGGACTGGCTTCATGCCATCCCCACGCGGGCGGACCTGACGTTCTCGCCGGGACAGTTCACTTTGGCCCTGGGATTACGCTTGGGATTGACGCTGCCGGTGACCGACAACTACCTGTGCCAGGGGGAGCGGGGGGAGATAGGGGACCTGAGCTTACCGAACCACTTGATGCGGTGTGGGGAGGGGAAGGAGGACAAACACACACAACACCCTAGTGTATGCAGCGCTACGCATGGCCAGGGAGGCCGACTACCTCACCTTGCATGAGACCACGGTCTACTCGCAACCCGTTAACCCCAAGCGAGCGGACCCTGCCATCAAGGACAAGGAGTCGGCCGAGACATACGTGACCGACGTCACGGTGACCGACCCCGTCCTGTAGCGCCGAGATACCAGAGCAGTGAAACTGCCAGGCTGGGCGGCAGAGGACGCAGCGAGGGGGAAAAGGGGAATGTATGAGGGCCGGCCGGATTTTGTGGGGGTGTTTGGGCTAGCAGTGGAAACTTATGGGGCCCTGGCACGCGACACACAACGGTTCCTCCGGCTCTTGGGCAGACAGGCGGCTAAAAAGAAGTTTAGGCAGGGGAGGCTCACCACGGTCGCCTCCAAACTCACAGCCCACTACCGCCAGCGCTGGTCGGTAATGCTGCAGAGGAGCCAGGCAAACACTTTCCTGGCAAAGTCTAACCTGGCCACAGAGAGCGCCTACCCCCAGGCAGCGGCCGACCCATGGGAGCCCCGCCTGGGGGACCTGTGCCAAGTCATTGAGGATGACTTGGACTGGGGGCCGCCCCTAGACCTGTGAGGGGCGGGACTTAGGGACCCCATCCAAGGGTCATGTTGACAGGCTGGCGGCACTCTTGTTAGACCGGGGTGCATCCCATATGATTGCTGGTGGGCCACTCCATAGCAGGTAGCTCCCCCATGCCTTGTGGTATATGCCATTGCATGTCTTGTATGGATGTACCCCGTATACTATCAATGAAGGACCGCTTGAGAGAGAGAGAGAGAGAGAGAGAGAGAGAGAGAGAGAGAGAGAGAGAGAGAGAGAGAGAGAGAGAGAGAGAGAGAGAGAGAGAGAGAGGAGGTGGTGGGCAGCAGCTGAAGCTGCTGATGCACGGGCTACTGGAGCAACTGGCTCACGAGGAAGTGGAGAAACTGGCTCATACGTCAGGAGCAACACGCTCGTACGGCTAGAGCAACGGCCGACTGGAGCAACGGGCTCACTGGTGACTGGCGCTGCTGGATTCACGTCGGCCACCCCCCTCCAACCCCCCCCCCCCCCCCCCCCCCCCCCCCTTAAAAAGCTTCCACCCACAACGTATGAGAGGGCCGGAGTAAGGAGAAAACAAGGAGGAGGTGGCTCGAAAGGAGAGGAGGGAGGAGAAATAAGGAGAGGAGCGGCTGCCTGGTCATACCCGCCACCCCCACACCCTTCCCCCCTCCCCCCTGCTTCAGGCGCAGTAGGGAGAGGGAGGAGTAAGCGGGCGGCTAGGTGGCGTGCAGAGGGTTCACGGTGGCCACCACCCCCTCACGCCACCTCCCCCCCTGGCCGCCACCCCATCCACCTCCCCCCGGCAGTAAGAGCGCCGCGGGAGGAGCTTGTGGGGCAACGTGGGGGGAAGGGGGGGGGGGGGGAGCAGCAGGGCCAGCGCGCTGGCGGTGACGAGCTGGCGCGCGCTGCTGTGGGTGCGCGCGCTGGCATGCACGCACTTCTGGCGTCTGCGCGCGCTGCTGCTGGCGGGTGCATGCGCTGCTGATGGCGTGCGCGTGCGCTGGCGAGCGTGATATTATCCAGAAGATACCAGAGTTGACAATTTCCTAATGCGCCCTTGGTTTGGGAAATCTGCCTTCCAACAACAAGAAAGAAAGAAAGAAAGAAAGGAAGAAATAAATACATAAATAGATAAATTAATACATAAATAAAGAAGGAAAGAAAGGAAGTAAGGTTGAAATAAGAGCGCTTAAAATCTGAATCTTCAGCCCTGGTCAGAGTAAATAGGCTGCTCTAAATAGGCTTCAAATACTGGACCAGGGCTGAATCTTCTGGTCAGCCCTAAATAGGCTTCAAATACTGGACACAACGGATGTGCCTGTAAGGTGGATGATACAACTGTTTGCGCTGCGGGAACTGCAATGCCCCATCCCCCAAACCCTAGCCGTTAGATCCATCTCTGTCGCTCATCCCTCCTCCCTTCGGTTGCTCTTTCCCACGGCCCCCGTGCTTCTCACCACAAACTCGTCTCGTCTCCTCCCATTTCGTCGTGCGCTCCACGTTCTGTGATAGGCGCCTTGTTACTTGCTGTGCGACTAACTCCACGCGCTTGAAGTAGGGACACGCAGGCAGGGCATTTGCCGATTCCGACTTTCCACTTCACACATCCCGCGGGCGATTGGCTAATCGCCGTAGGCGAGCCATGGACGCTCTCAGCGCGCCATTCATGGTAAGCAACTGTCGCCGTCACGGCGGGCTTGGATACCGCGGTGACTGATCGAGTGAGTGACGAGTATCGGGCGATCTGACTCGGAGAGCCCAACGCGCAACAGCGAGTTCTGCGTGCTTCTAGCGGCCCGTTTCATGTCTGGGAAAGGCGGTCCCGTCGCGGAGTGTTTCTAGCCAAGCCCAAAGTCGCTGCCGTGATCTAGCTCCCGAAATGCGATTAGGCCGTTGAAAAGAAGAAGACACGATGCATTGCTGGGCACACTGAAAGGCGTGGTGGCGATCAGTGGGCACATGCGGCCAGGGCTTTGACCGGGTTTTTCATGTGGCCATGTGCGACGTGGGTGCACGTTTGAAACAATTCCCGGGGCAAAAAGAAAAACAACGGCGAGTTAAGGCGAGCTAGGGTTTAGATGTCTATTAGCCTTGGCTCGACCGTGTTCGCAGCTGCACTGTTACATACGCGAAATACCTCACTGCTCGCGTGATTGGTGATTAAATGGTTTCCTCGTCTTGTCGCTGCACCAATTACTTCTTCCTCTCTCCCCCTCGCCCCGCCAGCCGCTCGAAGCTGCGCCGGACGGGCGCAAAGGGAAGGGAAAGAAGCGCCGGGAGGCGGCGGAAGCTCCTAGTGGCGCAAGTGACGCCGAGGCAAAGCGCGCCAAGCAGGCGGACGCGGAGCAGCAGGGCGCGGGGGACGGTGGGGGAGAAGCGGCGCAGCCCCTGGGGGAGTCGGAAGAGCAGGCGCAGACGCAGGCGGTGCAGTTTGTCGGGTTGCGGAGCGTGCGGAGAAACAAGGAGCAGCAGAAGGGGCGGGAGCGGGAGAAGCGGGAGCGGTACGTCGGCGCGGGGACGAAGGCTGGCGCAGGGGCGCGCGGGGGAGGCGGGAAGCAGCGGCGGAAGAAGGCGACAAAGTCGAGCGTGGTGTACCTGGGGCGCCTGCCGCACGGCTTCTACGAGGACGAGCTCCACGGTACGCGCGCGCACGCGGGCGCATGGGAATGTCGCGGGCGCGTGGGGATAGGGGCTTGGGGTACGGGGTTTGAAGGGTTTAAAGCCTGCAGGGGGTCGGGGTTAAGGGAATGAAGTGAAGGTTTGGGAGTTGACACGAGAGCATGGTACAAGGAAATGTTATGGATGCAGGTACGTGTGTGAGCTGTGAAGAGTGACAGGCGGTGTGTAGCTCTATCCAGAACCAGGTGCGCGTGGGAACTGTGAGGATTTCTATTGTGCCGGGGCAAAGGGTTCCGGACGATGGGTTTCAGAGGAAAGGAATTGGCGCGTCTGTGCAATTCGGATCCGCCCTGCGCTCTCTTCTTTCCTTCTCGCGACGCGATCTGTGGAAGATCGAAAAGGCACACACGCGCAGCAGCACTGCCTCTCTGCTGCCCCCTCTGTGCGTGGCCTCGTCGTCATGCCTCTCCACATCCTCACCCCTCCTCTCTCCCCACGCCCTCTCCCTCGACCCCCTTTGCGTCGCCCCGCTTCCCCCTCTCCGCATCCCCCTCTCCGCTTCCCCCTATCCGCGCGCGCCCCCCCCTGTGCGCGCAGGGTTCCTGAGTCAGTTCGGCGAGATCGAGCAGCTGCGCGTGGTGCGCAATCCCAAGGTGCGCAGGGGGCGGGCGGGCCAAGGGGGCGGTTGGCGTAGGACGGGGGCAGCGGGAGGGGAGTGGGAGAGGAGAGGAGAGAAAAGGGAGAGGAAGAGGAAGGGTTGGGGAGAGGAGAAGAGAGAGGGGGGAGTGGGAGAGGGGAGGGAGAGGAGAGGGAGAGGAGAGTGGGGGGGAGAGGGAAAGGAGTGGGGAAGGAGAGGGACGGAAGGGAAGAGGGGTTTCGGGGAGAGAGAAGAGAGCACTGAGGTTGTTCACTGTTTTCACGTTACCGTTGTTCTCGTTTTCGTTAAAGCTCGCGTCTCATATTTACAAGCATTTAACACTTGGTTGGTAACGCACGTCCGTGATTGGTCTCGGCAGAAATTTACTCGTCAATCGCAAACCAGTCACGGAGGCCCAAACCCAACCAAGTGTTAAACAGAGAAAATTTGAGATGCGAGCTTTAAGTATGTTACATTCTCCCTTCCCTCTCTTCCCGCTACCATCCCCTCCCTCCCTCTTTCTCTCCCCCCTCTCCCCTTTCATTTTGCCCCTTCTCACCCCTCCTCCCCTTCTCCCCACCCCGCCCTCCCCTCTACTTCCCCCCCTGCGTGTGTGTGCGGCGGCGCATGCGGGGCGGGCGGCGAGCAGACGGGGAGGTCGCGGCACTACGGCTACGTCAAGTTCGCCGCGCCTGAGGTGCGTGCGCGCTGGGCTGCTCCTTGCGCCGCCACCCCGTTTCTTGGGGTTGCTGGGTGGGGAGAGGAGGGCAGCGGAGTTGGTAAGGTTGGGGGGGTGGGTATGTGTGTAGGAGAGCAAGTGAAGCGGTTGCATGCATGTTCATGTGTCTGTGCGTGCGTGAGTGCGTGACCCCTCTCGATTCTCAGCCTCCATGCATGAAAACTTACCCCACCTAACCCTTCTCCCCCTCCTCCTCCCCCTCCCCTCTTTATGTCCCCCGCCTACCCCGTATCCCCTCCACTCCACCCCGCCCCTCGTTCCTCCTCGTCCGCGCACCCCTGCCTTGTGCGTGCATGGCATGGCATGGCATGGCATGGCGTGGCGTGGCATGGCAGGTGGCGGCGATAGTGGCGGAGTGCATGGACAACTACCTGCTCTTCGGCCACCTGCTCAAGACGCACCTCGTCCCCGCCGCCCGCGCCGACCGCGACCAGCTGTCAGTGCCGTGGGGGGGTGGGGGTAGGAGGGGATGGAAGGGGGAGGGGCATGGTGTGGAATGTGGGTGGCAGTGGGGTGGGTAACTCACTGGGACGGCAAGGAGCAGGCACGTGGCATGTGGCTAGAGTGCGTGCCATGGGTGGACGCAGCAAGTGGGGACCATGGCCCTAGCGGTCATACCCACGCCATTGAACCAAGGGTAGCACCACCTTCCCCTTGCTGCCCTGCCATGCTTTCATACCCACGCGTTTGCTCCACTCGTTGCCCCAGTCCGTGTTACGAGCACAGCCCACTGTCTCAAACTGCACCTCGTTGCTCCTTGTCCCACCCATGCCGCGCCCCGCCAACGACTCGTCCCGTGGCGCCTCTGACAGGTTCTACACGCCCCACAAGAACCCTGCAGAAGTCTCTCAGCCCAAGGCGGTAAGACTCCACCAAGAGCTTCCAAGCGTAACCCTTGTAGTTTCCCCTGAGCCCCCTTTGCATGCATGTCTGCATGCTTGTGAGCTGCTGGAAGCATGTGACTCGTTTGAGCTTGCCTCTTCCCTTCATTGCTTCCTCGCCCCATGTTGGCCTCTCTCGTTCACATGGTGTTCCTCTCTCGTTCTCATGGAATCGTGTTTCATGGTACGATACTGAATGGAGTGGCATGGCATGGCATGAGCAGGTGGAGACATGGCAGGACTACAGTGAGCAGGCGCGCAAGCAGTCGAAGAAGCTAAGCGCCACCATGAAGCGCCTCAAGGCGGCTGGCATCCAATACGACTTCCACCCCAAGGTGCGCCCATGCGCTGCTGCATGCACTGCCTTCTATCACTTGTTGTTGTTGCTGCTGCCGCTGCTGCTGCTGGCTGGAGATTGAACCTGGTAGGGTGGGTCAGACAGGTTAGGGAAGGAAGATATGGTTTATGAGAGAGTTTTTGCCGCTCGAAAGGAAGAGATAGTATGAGATATGGCTCTTGGATGGAAGTGAAGCCGTCTGCGCAAATGCTTCATTTCGGGTCTTGAGCTCTTGACTTGAGAGACATTGTTTCTTCTCGTTGCCTTGTACTCCTCTTCCCGTAACCCCGTCTCTCCTCTCCTGCTGTGCTGCAAGCAGCCCAAGGCAGCGAGGCCCGAGGGGGGAATGCACCAGCGCTTCAACGAGGCGGGCGAGGCAGCCCCTGCCCCAGCCCCAACCCCAGGCCCAGACGCTGCAGCAGGCAAGGGCAAGGGGGCGAAGCAGACGGGTGGTGCGAAGGAGCCAGGGAAGGCGAAGGAGCAGAAGCAGAAGAGGAAGGAGAAGGTGGGGAAAGTGGATGGGCAAGGGGAGAAGAGTGCGGGAGATGCCGAGGCAGGGACGCAAGAGCAGGAGGGGAACGGTGTGAAGGAGGTGCAGGCAGAGGGTGGGGATGGATTGGCCGAGACGAAGGTGAGCAGTGGGGGCGTGAGCGAAGCGACAGTGGAGGGCGAGGAGAAGACGGGGGGTGAGGAGGACGTGGTGGCACGCGCCAAGGCGGTGGCAGCACGGCTGAAGCAGGAAGCAGATAAATTCGCCCAAGTGTTGGGGAAAGATGCCGTGGATGCTGAGGAGGGTGGCACACGCGAGGGAGGGGCGGGTGAGGATGATGTGGGTGCGGAGGCGGTTGACGAGCCATGGAGCGATGAGCATGAGGAGGAGGAGGAGCTGCTGCATGAAGAGCAGGATGTGGAGGAGGAAGAGGATGAGCAGAGTGACGATAGTGAAGGTGAGGGGGGTAGTGACGTGGACGGGGGTGATGAGGACTAGTGTTTGCTGCTTCAGACGATGAGAGGAAGTCCCGTGTCTTTACTTTGTTCAACTAAATTTAAAAACCATGTTCGCTGGTAACGACTGCCACCTGATACCTACGTAGTGCTAAATGTTAGAATATGGAAACAGGAATGTGTGCATTGAGTAGGATGGGGATACAAGTAGTAAACCCTAAAAGGGTTGTCCCCTCTACAGTGTACCCCAGTATAGACTACAGCACTATAAGTGCATACTTTGACACTAATTGCTTTGATGAGTTCACGAATTCAACAACAGTTTTGGTGGCACTGGTAGAGTCGGCCCCCTGCCCCACCCGTGGCTCCCCTGGTTAAGAACCGTCCATTACTAAGCACAACCATGGAAGGGGTGCACGTCTTGAACGTATATCTCGAGCTATAGAGATCATTTTGTCAGCGTACGCAAATATGTTTGCATGTGCACTTTTGTAGGCTTGGTTGGGTTTTGCTATGGAGGTTGCAGTATGTTATATCTACACCACTGTATTCCCTCATGTGTCCACCTTTCAACCTTTCATTTTCTGACATGGTTGTCAGATTACAATTGTATCTCTAGGCTACAGTAGGGTCACTCCTTAGTGAGTACAACACTTTAGGGTTAGGTTTCCTCTACTTGTACTCACCTCTTGCCTAGTTCAATCATTCATTCCTGCTTATTCTAATATGGAATTAGAGCAGAATCGTTCCTAGGGCCCACCGAACGTTCCGCCCTGCCCTAGCCGTAAATTTTTCTTCCTACGCTGCCCCTGCAGCCGCGCTGCCCTTGCAGCCTGCGTGCTGCCCCTGCGACCGCGCTGCCCCTGCAGCCGTACTCGCCCCTGCGACCGTGCTGCCCCTGCAGCCGTGCCTGCCCCTGCGACCGTGCTGCCCCTGCAGCCGTGCCTGCCCCTGCGACCGTGCTGCCCCTGCAGCCGTGCTTGCCCCTGTGGCCCGCGTGCTGCCCCTGCAGCCCGCGCGTTCGCCCCTGCAGCCCGTGGGCGCTGCCTCTGCAGCCCACGCGCCGCCCTGCCAAGCCGAACGTCGCCCCTGCAGCCTGGGCGCCGCCCTGCCGAGCCGCGCGCCGCCCCTACAGCCCGCGCGCCGCCCTGCTGAGCTGCGCGTCGCCCCTGTAGCCCGTGGGCGCTGCCCCTGCAGCCCGCGCGCCGCCCTGCCGAGCCGCGCGTCGCCCCTGCAGCCCGTGGGCGCTGCCCCTGCAGCCCGTACGCCGCCCTGCAGAGCCGCGCGTCGCCCCTGCAGCCCGTACACCGCCCTGAGGAGCCGCACGTCGCCCCTGCAGCCCGTGGGCGCTGCCCCTGCAGCCCGCGCGCCGCCCTGCCAAGCCGAACGTCGCCCCTGCAGCCTGGGCGCCGCCCTGCCGAGCCGCGCGCCGCCCCTACAGCCCGCGCGCCGCCCTGCTGAGCTGCGCGTCGCCCCTGTAGCCCGTGGGCGCTGCCCCTGCAGCCCGCGCGCCGCCCTGCCGAGCCGCGCGTCGCCCCTGCAGCCCGTGGGCCGCGCGCAACCCTAAACCCTAAAAAATATATATATATATATTTATATGTATATATAATACTACTACTGCTGCTGCTGCTACTACTACTGCTGCTACTACTCGTGCTACTGCTGCTGCTGGTGGAGGTGCTGCTGGGAGTGCAGGAGGTGCTGCTGGTGTTGTAGGAGCCGGAGGTGCTGGACCTACTCCTGACCGTCACTGTCTGTCATGGCCACTTCCGCGGCAGTTGCTGCGGTCAGGGGTGCACAGCAGCGGGCACTACTTCTCCCGGACAACCCCACCCCTCAGCAGCTTCGTGAGTGGGTTATTCAGCGAGGTCGTCCTGGTGGTGGAGGTTATCGTTTTGCTAAGACTGCTGCTCTTGGTGCTAGTGAGTCTGCTGCTACTCCAGGTGCTAGTGGGTCTGCTGCCGCTCCAGGTGCTAGTGAGTCTGCTGCAGCTCTAGGTGCCCGTGAGTCTGCCGACGCTCTAGGTGCTAGTGCGTCTCCTACCACAGGTCCTGCCTCAGCTGAGGTCTTGCACACTTTCACGCTTGACTCAGGCGCGTCACGTTGCTTCTTTCGTGATTGCACCTCAGTCACACCACTCACAGCACCTGTCCCAGTCTCACTGGCTGACCCCTCTGGGGGCCCAGTAGTTGCGAGAGCCTCCACGGTCCTCCCTTGTCCAGCAGTCCCCTCCGGCTCTCTGTCAGGTCTCCACCTCCCCACGTTCTCGACGAACTTGGTGAGCAATGCTGCCATTCAGGATGTCTGGGTTGAAACCTTTATTCCTGGAGGGCAGCATGTGGCGATCTGTACGTGCTCCCGGACTGGCCGTCACCTGGCTACGTTGACTCGACAGCCTGGGTCTAGTCTGTACATACTGACCACTGCGTCTGCACAGGTGGCTGAGTCAGGTCAGGTGGCTGCGTCGAGTCGGGCGTCTGCGTCGGGGCAGTTCGCTGCGTCTTGCTCGTGCAGAGTACTCACGCACGAGACTCAGCGCTGGCACCACCGTCTTGGTCACCCCTCCCTACAGCGTCTACGCAGTATGCACTCCCGTCTCCTTGTCTCTGGCCTCCCCAGGACCCTGCCCCCCCTCCCGCGCTCACTTGCGCCGCCGTGCCTTCCTTGCGTCGAGGGGCGGCAGCGCGCCGCTCCTCACTCCTCCGAGTTTCCTCCGACCACTGCTCCTCTGCAGACTCTCCACCTGGACGTGTGGGGCCCGGCCCGAGTCGGTGGGACGGACCAGGAGCGCTACTTCCTGCTGGTTGTTGACGACTGCACACGCTACACCACCGTCTTCCCCTTGCGTCGCAAGGCGAACGTCAGCGGTGTTTTGATCCCCTGGATCCGTGCTGCTCGTCTCCAGCTGCACGAGCGCTTTCAGCAGGACTTCCCAGTCCTGCGTCTGCACTCTGACAGGGGTGGTGAGTTCTCCTCTGGCGTCCTTGAGACGTTCTGCCAGGATGAGGGCATCCGCTAGTCGTTCACGCTTCCGGCCTCTCCGCAGCAAAATGGGATCGCTGAGCGTCGCATTGGCCTGATCATGGAGGTTGCTCGTACCTCCATGATCCATGCGGCTGCTCCCCATTTCCTGTGGCCGTTTGCGGTCCGATACGCCGCGCATCAGCTCAACCTCTGGCCCCGTGTCTCTGCTCCAGAGACCTCGCCCACACTCCGTTGGACGGGACAGCCTGGTGATGCGTCGTCGTTTCGGGTCTGGGGCGCGCTCTCCCTTGTTCGCGATACCAAAGCGAGCAAGCTCTCTACTCGCACTCTACGCTGTGTCTTCCTGGGCTTCCCCACCGACGCTCCACCCTGGCAGTTCTACCACCCTGCCTCGCGTCGTGTTCTGTCCTCTCAGGACGTCACTTTCGACGAGTCGGTCTGTTACTACCGACTTCACCCACACGCGTCCCACCCGGTCCCCCTCGCGCCTCTCTTCCTGGTACCAGTCCCCCCCCCGGTAGACCCCCTTCCTCAGGTGTGTCCCAGGTAGACCCACCCCCCTTGGATGAGCCAGTTGAGATCTCTTATGACTCCTCTGACTCAGCTGAGGGGGGTGACGCCATCGCCGACGACACCGTGACCACTCGCCACACTCCTCGCTTGGAGACCCCCCCGGGTTTCCCGCCTCGGCCGTCTTCGCCACCTCCGCAGCCTGCTGCTGTGGACTCTGGAGCTGAGGCTGCTGGAGCTGGGCCTAGGAGTGGTACGTCTGGGGGTGACTGCTCTCCTCGTTTGGCTACCCCCCCCGGTTTCCCGCCTCTGCAGCCTTCTGCAGTGGACACTGGAGCTGAGACTGAGGGTCCTGAGCCTGCGGGTGCTGGGACTGAGCGTACTGAGCCTGCGGGTGCTGGGACTGAGCGTACTGAGCCTGCGGGTGCTGGGACTGAGAGTACTGAGCCTGCGGGTGCTGGGACTGAGGGCACTGAGCCTGCGGGTGCTGGGACTGAGGGTACTGAGCCTGAGGGTACTGAGCCTGGGGGTACTGAGACTTTGGGTGCTGACTCTGGGGGTGCTGAGACTTCGGGTGCTGACTCTGGGGGTGCTGCGAGTCCTCTTGGAGGTACTACTGGAAGTACTGGAGCTGCTACTGGTGCTAGAGGTGCTGGAGCTGGGGGTACTAGAGGTGCTTCTGGTGCTGGAGGTGCTAGAGCTACCACTACTGGAGGTACTGGAGCTGGACAGCCACCGCAGCCTCCTCTACTTGAGACGCTCTCGCCACAGGCGATTCGTGCGTGGGTCGTTCGGCGAGGCAGTCCTGGTGGTGGAGGGTACGGTCCGGCTGGTGCTGGAGCTACTAGTCCAGGAGGTGCTGCTGGTGGTGCTGGAGGTACTACTGGAGGTACTAGAGGTACTGCTGGTGCTGGAGGTGCTGCTGGTGCTGGGGGTACTGGAGCTGCTGCTGGTGCTGGAGGTGCTGGAGGTGCTGGAGGTGCTGACCCTGGAGGTGCTGGTGCTGGAGGTACTGGAGGTGCTGGAGCTATTGGTCCCGGAGGTGCTCGTACTGGAGGTGCTGGAGCTGCCGGAGCAGGTGGTGCTGCTGGTGCTGGAGGTGCTGGAGGTGCTACTGGAGCTGCTGGCACGGGAGGTACTGGAGGTACTACTGGTGCTGGAGGCGCTGGAGCTGGAGCTGGAGGCATTGGAGGTGCTGGAGGTACTACTGGTGCTCGAGGTGCTGGCGCTGTCGGAGCTCGTGGTGCTGGAGGTGCTGGTGCTACTGGTGCTGGAGGTGTTGCTGGGGGTACTGGAGGAGCTGCTCGTGCTGGAGGTACGGGAGCTACTGGTGCTCTTCGCCACCTTCTCAGTCTTCCGCCATGTGCTACTGGCTTCCCTGTGGCAGGTACTACTCCTCCGTTGCTGTGTCCGCCAGTGGTCCAGTCATAGCCACCGCTGCTACCACACTCCCCACTGCCTGCTCCTGCTCCTTACACTGCGGTGTCAGAGTCCCTGACTGAGCGTCGAGAGCCTGAGACTCGTGCTTCCACCCCTGAGCGTCGAGAGCCTGAGTCTAGCTTTGACCTTGAGCCTGAGCCTAGAGCTGCTGTCCGTGCTCGTGTTCCTCGTGTTCGTCGTCCGCGTGCTCCGGCTGTCCCCGGCACTCACGATATGACACTCCATCCTTCCTCTGTTCCTCAGCGTGTTGTACTACCGTTACCTCCTGCGTCCTCTCTGCCTGACGTTGCTGACCCTCCGTCTGACCTTGCTCGTGCGTCCAGTCCGACTGTTAGTCGCCTTCTTGCTACGGTTGTGACGGACCCTACGTTCTCGTCTCCTGCTTCGTCTGCCCTAGTAGCTGAGCTCGTTGACTTTGCTGCTGTGTACCGCCTAGACTACCTTGCGAGTCTTGTCTCTGACCCTGTCCCTGCCTGTCCTCCGTCCGTCGGGGGTGAGACTGCTCTTGGCTGTACTGCCCTTGGCTGTGACGTTCTTGAGGACAGACAGGAGGAGCTGGAGTGCCTTGCTGCCGCTTCACCCCATCACGCGACCATGCTGCTTGCCCCTGAGGGAGACCCGAATGCACTTGACATCCCCACCCCGCGCTCCTACAGGGAGGCGATTTCGGGTGAGTACTCCTCTCAGTGGCAGACAGCCATGGACGCAGAGATGGCTTCCTGGAAGTCCACATGCACCTACGTCGACGAGGTTCCCCCACCTGGGGCGAACATCGTCAGTGGTATGTGGATTTTCAGGGTGAAGCGGCCGCCGGGTTCTCCGCCTGCCTTCAAGGCACGTTACGATGCTCAAGGCTTCAGTCAGTGTGAGGGGGTCGACTTCTTTCAGACTTTGTCCCCCACTCCGAAGATGACCACTCTTCGGGTGTTGCTACACGTTGCAGCTCAGCGTGATTACGAGCTGCACTCCCTCGACTTTTCGACAGCTTTCTTGCAGGGTAGCCTTCACGAGGCCATCTTGTTGCGCCGTCCACAGGGCTTCACTGGGTCGTTTCCAGAGGGTACCCAGTGAAGCCTACGGCGACCAGTGTACAGCCTGCGTCAGGCGCCCCGTGAGTGGCACGACACACTGAGGACGAAACTTGCGGCTCTTGGGTTTGCTCCTTCGACTGCTGACCCGTCGCTGTTTCTCCGCACCAACACTACTCTGCCGCCGTTCTACATCCTCGTGTACGTCGACGACTTGGTTTTTGCTACTGCTGACACTGAGGCACTAGCCCTAGTGAAGGCGGAGCTGCAGGAGAGACACACCTGCACTGACCTGGGTGAGCTGCGGAGCTATCTTGGCTTGCAGATCACCCGGGACAGACCACGGCGCACCATCACCCTCACTCAGTCACACATGGTGCACCAGGTCCTTCAGCGCTTCCGCTTCACTTGGTCCTCGCCACAGCCCACTCCTCTGTCTACCGGCCACTCGCTCTCTGTCGGAGAACCTTCCTTCTCCCAGCCCATGCTCTGCTCCTCGCACCTCCTCTTCTCCCTGCTCCTGCTCTTCTTCCTGCACCTGCTCTTCTCCTGCTGTCTCTCTGCTTCCTCCCTTCTCCGTGTTGCAAAGCCTCACTCAACCGCTGCCCCCTCCTGTGCTCGTGCTCTAGCCGCTTGAGCTCGTGTCACAGGACCCTCTTGGAGATGCCTCACTCGTACCACTGCCCCCTCCTCTGTTTCCTCCCATGGCCTGCCCTCTCCTCCCGGCACTCATCCTCCCTCCCTTCTTCCCTCTGCCCTGTTCCCGTGATACCTTCCCTTCTCTGCCTCAGCCACCACTTGAACGAGTTTCCTCCCTCACCCCGTAGGTCCTCCCCTAGTGGCGTGCCACCGGATGCTAGATCAGAGGTAACAGCTTTCCACTAATATGAGAGAATAACAGCACGAAAGCATCGAGGGGTTGGCTGTGACTGCCCTTACCCAACCCCAAGCTGCACATTCCCAAAAGTGCGGCTCGGGGTTGGGACTGCTTGGCTTCCTATTTCGCCCTTCGGTGCCTTTTCCCTCGCAATCCCAACCGCTCTCATCCAATTTCCCCCTTTCTACACCCCTCCCTAACAGTAACTTTCCTACGTTCTACACCTACAACTGATTCCTAACTAATACTCTTATAACTAGCTAATGTTCCCATAACAGCCACTACAAGTCCCCCTTACACCATCATCCTACTGTTATTGCATATGCATTAGGTGCATATGCGGTGACAGCTGTCGGAGAACCTTCCTTCTCCCAGCCCATGCTCTGCTCCTCGCACCTCCTCTTCTCCCTGCTCCTGCTCTTCTTCCTGCACCTGCTCTTCTCCTGCTGTCTCTCTGCTTCCTCCCTTCTCCGTGTTGCAAAGCCTCACTCAACCGCTGCCCCCTCCTGTGCTCGTGCTCTAGCCGCTTGAGCTCGTGTCACAGGACCCTCTTGGAGATGCCTCACTCGTACCACTGCCCCCTCCTCTGTTTCCTCCCATGGCCTGCCCTCTCCTCCCGGCACTCATCCTCCCTCCCTTCTTCCCTCTGCCCTGTTCCCGTGATACCTTCCCTTCTCTGCCTCAGCCACCACATGCCCCCTCCAGAGCTCGTGCTCGGGTCTCCCGTGCACGAGGCACTGGACACTCTTGCTGAGGCCGGGGTACTTCACACCACTGCAGTATTGGTGGTCCCCTGTCTTCTCTCTTCGCCCACTCTCTGACACAGCACTCCCGCCCCCTCAGATTCGTCGCCCTCCTTCTCTGTGTGCCCAGCACCACTTCCTGTTCCAGCGTATCCTTCTGTCCCCCCGAGGGTTAGACTTCCTGTCTCACTCCTTCTGCCGCCCTTGTGCCTGGTGCAGCCGCTCCTCTGGCCTGTGTGCATCTCTCAACTGCACTGTCTGTAAGTTCTCCCGTGCTGCCGGCAGTCCTTCCTTCAGGTACCTTGCCCTGGTTTCTACCAATGCCACGCCATTCTCCACCCCTCCTGTTCCCACTGTCTGTGTCACGAGTGTGACCTCCCTCCCCTGCCCGCTCATTGGCCCCCCCCCCACCGTCCACTTAGATCCTTCCTTTGCAGTCCACCCTGCCCATCCTCCCTCCTCATCCTCCACTCCCGCCTCCGCTGCTGCTGCTACACACTCAGGTGCCCCTACTTTCTCTTCCTTCCCTTCCTCTTCTTCTGCTGCTGCTCCACACGCCTGTGTCTCCAAATTCTCTTCTTTCCCTTCCTTTTCTGCTGCTGCTGCTGCACACGCCTGTGTCCCCAACGTCTCTTCCTTCCTTTCCTCTTCTGCTGCTGCCGCTGCACACGCCTGTGCCCCAACTTCTCTCCTTCCCTTCCTCTTCTGCTGCTGCTACTACACACGCCTGTGCCCCCCAACTTCTCGTCTTTCCCTTCCTCTTCTGCTGCTGCTACTGCACACGCCTGTGCCCCCAACCTCGCTTCTTTCCCTTCCTCTTCTGCTGCTGCTACTGCACACGCCTGTGCCCCCCAACCTCTCTTCTTTCCTTTCCTCTTCCGTTTCCGCTGCTGCTGCTGCGCACGCCTGTGCTCTCTCCTTCTCTTCCCTCCCTGCCGCTTCTGCTACTTCTGGTTTGCACGCCTGTGCCCCCACCTTCACTGCCCCGCTTTCCGCTTCCGCTACTGCTGTCATGCACGCCTGTGCCCCCACCTTCACTGCCCCGCTTTCCGCTTCTGCTACTGCTGTCATGCCCACCTGTGCCCCCACCTTCACTACCCCGCTTTCCGCTTCCTCTACTGCTGTCATGCCCGCCTGTGCCCCCACCTTCACTGCCCCGCTTTCCACTTCCGCTACTGATGTCATGCACGCCTGTGCCCCCACCTTCACTGCCCCGCTTTCCGCTTCCGCTACTGCTGTCATGCCCGCCTGTGCCCCCACCTTCCCTTCCCTCCCTTCCGCTTCTGCTGCCACTGGTACACCCGACCATGCCCCCACCTTCTCGTTCTTCCCTCCCGCTTCCGCCGCTGCTAATGCACACGCTTCTGCCCCCACCTGCTCGTCCCGCTCCTCCGCTCCCGCTGCTGCTGGCACGCACGCTTCTGCCCCCACCTGCTCATCCCGCTCCTTCGCTCCTGCTGCTGCTGGTACGCACGCTTCTGCCCCCACCTGCTCATCCCGCTCCTTCGCTCCTGCTGCTGCTGGTACGCACGCTTCTGCCCCCACCTGCTCATCCCGCTCCTTCGCTCCTGCTGCTGCTGGTACGCACGCTTCTGCCCCCACCTGCTCATCCCGCTCCTCCGCTCCCGCTGCTGCTGGTACGTACGCTTCTGACCCCACCTGCTCATCCCGCTCCTCTGCTCCCGCTGCTGCTGGTACGCACGCTCCTGCCCCCGCCTGCTCGTCCTGCTCCTCTGCTCCCGCTGCTGCTGGTGTTACTGACATACACGCCCATGCCCCCACCTTACTCACTAGCTCCCTTCGTATGTCCCTGCCCCCACTGCGCAGCCACATGTCTGCATGGCCACGCAGCACCGCACCGGAGTGTTCTGGCTCCTGCCCCTCTTCCTCCTCCGCGTACAACCCCGCTTGCCCCTGAGTTCTTTCTCCCAGTGCGTGCAGTTGGGCTCGTAACTGTTCGATCTGTTCCTCGATCTCCTTGGGTGATCTCCTTGCATCCCTTCCTTTCTCATAGCAGTTTCTTGCCCGATTCCCACACACCTCACAGCTCGGTGCATCTGGGCAGTCCCTCCGTCGGTGCCCAGGCTTTCCGCACACATCACAGTTCTTGCACTCCCTCCTGATATGCCCCTCCTGCCCGCACCTGTGGCACGTCCGTGTTTCTGCTCGCCTCTCCTGCCACTGCTCCTCCCCACCCCCGTCCTTGGTTATCATCGCTGCAGCCCACCTGGGCCGCCCTTTCTCTAACACCCTCGGCAGGTACGCCTCATACCGCCTCTGCGCCAGCTCCACTCTCTCTGCCAACTCAAACACCTCCTCCAGCGTTGCTTCAGCTCCCAACTCATACACTCTCATTCTCAGCCCGCCGCTCAATCCCTCATCCAGACCCCCCAGGAACTTGCTTATAAGCATGCTGCCATCTGTGCACACCACGTCTTCCGCCAGATCCGTCAACCTACCGTAGTAGGTGAGCAGTGACTCGGCCCTCCCTCGCTGGAATTCCTGAAATTCTCTCACCCTCTCCGCCGTGTGCCCTGGAAACTGCTTCCGCAGCCGCTCTAGGAACAGAGTGGTTGGGTCCTCATCCTCCTCCTCTGCCCTCCTCAGCCATTCCTTCATCTTCATACGATATAGCGTCTCAGCTTCGCCTCCCAGCGTGTTCGGTAGGCTCAAGAAAAACTCTATCGGGTCCATCCCACTCCTGTCGCAGCGGTACTTCACATTACCGATTTGCATCAGGTAATTCTTCAGGTTTGTGTCTGACCCTGCTCCCCCCGTAAAGCGCACTGGCACCTCCACCTGAGGTGGGGCCTGCGCACTCCACCTCCCTGTCTCCCAAGTCCCTGAGCTCTCATTCCTCCTGCTACTCTCTCCCCTCCTCTCCCTCAACTCTCTGCTTCTTGACTCTGTCCCATACAACACTCGACCACTTCCTTCCCTGGCTGCCCTTGCCCCCGTAGCGCCTACCCATGACTGCTGCCGCCTTCTCCGCCACGTCGGACCTATGCTCCTTCCCCCCTCTCTCTCTTGAGCCTCCCCATATCTCTCCGATCCCCACCCTGGTCTCTCCCTCTTCTCCGGGGAATGTTCTTTCCAACGCCCCTCCCTTCGGCCCGACCTGTGGCGCGTAGGTCCGTCACACTCTCCTTCGTCCTCACTCTCCGTTTCATGCGCAAGCATCATTTCCCGTCGCCTACTCTGCTTCTCTTCACCCCTTTTCCTTGTTCCCCTGCTGCCCGAGCTTGCCCCATACAGCGCCCGTTCTGTCCCCTCTCTGGCCGCTCTGGCTCCTTCGGATCCTCCTCCTGATTGCCATCGCCCCCTCGGGCCCCTTGTACTCGGACTCCTTCCTCGCTCTCTCTCGTAAGCCGCTCTCCGCTTCTCTGCTCCGTCCCACCGCCTTTCCTTCCCATCATGCGAGTGCTCCTGATACCGCCTTTCTCGCTCCACATCTTCCCGCCGCCGTCGGTTCCCTCTCCCCCTTTCTTCTGCCCTTGTTGCGCCCAGCGATCGTCGTGCACCCTCCCTGGTGCGTCCCTCCTCACGCCCCCCTCCTCTCTCTGGTGAGCACCACCCATCTCTTTCCTCACAATCCCCTCGCTCCCCGTCCGGACCTGCTCGTCTGCCCCGTTCTTCCTCTGGCTTACTCTCCCGTCGCCCACGTTGCTCCTCACCTCTCTCTCTCTGTCTCTCTCTCCCCCAAACAGCAGGCCCCCATTGACCTGCCAGTCTCCCTCGCTCATACTGCTCCCTCCGCACCTCTGGCGATCGCCGCGCGGCCATCGCCACGCGTCTCCTCCCACGTCCTCGCAGCTCAGACGAGCTGTACCATCCCGTTGGCGCATGGTTTTTCCTGCTGTCCTCCCGAAGATCGTCCGGCGAGCGACCTGCCGCTGCGGTTCCGCGGCGCCTCGCATCTCCCTCGAGCACCTCCTCTGGCGAACGATCTGCCGCCATGTTCCCTTGGCGCCTCCCGCCACTCCCGCGCATCCGTTCTGGCGAGCTGTCTGCATCCGCTCTCCCGCGGCGCCTTGCGCTGCCACCTCGCATTTCATCTGCCGAGCGACCTGCATCCTTGCCTCCGCAGTGCCTCACGCTGTTTCCACCTATTTCGTCCACCGTAGCATCTGCATCCGCGCCCCCGCGCCCTTCGTCTGCCAACCCGTCTGCATTCGCGCCCCCGCGGTGCCTCGCGCCCTCTTCACGCCCTTCGTCTGCCAATCCGTTTGCATCCGTGCTCCCGCAGCGCCTCTGTTAGAATGAACAAGTGTGTTTGAACTAACAAGAATGGGAGTACAAGTAGGAAACCCTAGAATGTTGTACCCCCTAAGGCTAAACCCACTATAGCCTACACAATGTAAACATATAATGTTTGACACACCCCCATAGGCTAAGTGGGGGAGAGCAAGGGGTCATAAGACCAGTCAAAGCAAAGCAAAACAAGCTCAGGGTGGATCTCAAGGATGCCACACAAATTCCGAGCACAAGCAAGTGGTCACAAGACCAGTTCACATCCAGTTTGATAATATAACAAGAGGTACAGTGATCACAACCTAGCAAGTGTAAGCATGCAGGTATATATATAGAGATCACAGTACATGTCAAACATTGTATGTTTACATTGTGTAGGCTATAGTGGGTTTAGCCTTAGGGGGTACACAAACTTAGGGTTTCCTACTTGTACCCAACTTTGTGCTAGTTCATTCATTCCTGTTTCTTTCATTCTGACATGGTACAAGCAGAGTCAAGAAGTGAGCAAGTGAGGGACAGTAGGCACAAGGCCTAGAACAGTACAGAAACGCTGATGATCACAAGGCTGAAGCGCCTTGGTGAACACATCAGCAGTGTTGGCCCGAGTGGCCACGTACGAAAGACGAAGCTGACCACGCTGCTGCAGCTCTCGAGCAAAGAAGTAGCGCAGAGCGATGTGCTTCGTTCTGTGCTCCAGTCTGTGCTCCTGACACAAGGCAATGGCTGCCTTGTTGTCGACGTACAGCACTGGAGGAGAACGAGGCCGCTCTCCGAGGTCGGTCAGCAAGTAGGTGAGCCAGCGTAGCTCCTGGGCAGCCATGGCTGTGGCGTAGATCTCAGCCTCACAACTGGAGCTGAGAACAGAGGAAGAGCGTGTAGAACGCCAGGAAACAGAGCCAGAGCCAAGGCTGAAGGTGTAACCCTGAGACGACCGCTGCGTAGCCTGGTCGTCAGCCCAAGAAGCGTCTGAGTGTCCAGTGAGGACAACGTCGCGCCGTCCTCCAAGCACTAGCCCCATGCCCGACGTACTGCACAAGTAGCGCAACACCCTCTTAGCGGCATCCATGTGCTCCTTCCGGTGACGGCCAGGAGCGACATAGCGTGCTAGGATGCTAAGAGGGTATGCAAGGTCAGGTCGAGTGCAGGTCATCAGGTACATGAGGCAGCCCACAAGCTCTGGATACGGGCCACTCGGCTCTACGGACTCATCCGAAGGCAGAGCTGAGAGCGAGTGACCAGTAGGCAGAGGAGTGGGCTGAGGCGAGGAGTACGTGAAGCGGAAGCGCTGAAGGACCTGCTGCACCATGTGTGACTGAGTCAAGGTGATGGTGCGCTGTGCTCTGTCCCGGGTGATCCGCAAGCCAAGATAGCTTGTCAGCTCACCCAGGTCTGTGCACGTGTGTCTCTTCTGCAGCTCCGACTTCACGTGGGCGAGTGCCTCAGTGTCAGCAGTAGCAAAGACCAAGTCGTCGACGTACACGAGAACGTAGAACGGCGGCAGAGTGGTGTCGGTGCGTAGAAATAGCGACGGGTCAGCAGTACAAGGAGCAAACCCAAGAGCAGCAAGAGTCGTCCTCAGTGTGTCGTGCCACTCACGGGGTGCCTGGCGGAGACCGTAGACTGGCCGTGGAGGCTCCACTGGGTACCAGGAGGGAACGACCCAGTGAAGCCAGGTGGGCGGCGCAGCCAGATCTCCTCGTGCAGGCTGCCCTGTAGGAAAGCAGTGCTGAAGTCAAGAGAGTGGAGCTCGTAGTCACGCTGAGCGGCGACGTGCAGCAGAACCCGAAGAGTGGTCATCTTCGGGGTAGGGGAGAAGGTGTGGAAGAAGTCAACTCCCTCTCGCTGACTGAAGCCTCGAGCAACGTAACGCGCCTTGAAGACAGGCGGAGAACCCGGCGGCCGCTTCACCCTGAAAATCCACATGCCACTGACGATGTTCGCCCCAGGTGGGGGAACCTCGTCGACGTAGGTGCCTGTGGACTTCCAGGAAGCTCTGCGTCCATGGCTGTCTGCCACTGAGAGGAGTAGAGACCCTCCATCGCCTCTGCGTAGGAGCGTGGGGTCGGGATGTCTGGTGCATCCGGGTCTCCCTCAGGGGCAATCAGCATGGACACGAGATGAGGTAAAGCAGCAGCAAAGCACTCAAACTCCTCCTGTCTGTCCTCAAGGACGTCCGTGCCAAGAGCACACTCACCCCCGACGGACGGAGGACAGACAGACTCAGACTCAGCAACAAGGCTAGCGGCGTAGTCTAGACGACAGGCGGCAGCAAAGTCCACAAGCTCAGCGACTAGAGCAGACGCAGCAGAGGACTCAAAGGTAGGGTCAGTGACAACAGTAGCAAGGAGACGCGCGATAGTAGGACTGGTAGCACGAGTAAGGTCTGACGGCGGGTCAGCAACGTCAGGAAGAGAGGACGCAGGAGGAGACGGCAGAGGGACACGCTGTGGAGCAGTGGAAGGACACAGGGTCATATAGTGAGTGCCAAGGACAGGAGGAGGACGCTCACGCGGAACACGACGACGAGTGCGGGCAGCGCGGACAGGCGACTCTGGACGAGGCTCAGGAGACGCAGGACTAGACTCAGGCGACGGAGGACGAGACTCAGGCTCACGACGCTCCGTAAGACTACCCGTCGGCGCAGTGTAAGGAGAAGGGGCAGGCAGCGGAGAGGCAGACTGTAACTGTGACTGCGACTGGACAGACGGTGGACTCAGTAGGGGAGGAGAAGGACCAGTAGAGGGCGGGAGACCAAGAACCTGCTGAAGGAGTGGAACGTAGTACGACCGCGGCCGCTCAGCACCTCCAGCAGCGCCAGCAGCACCGCCAGCAGCAGCAGATCCTCCAGCAGCTCTAGCAGCACCAGCACCAGCAGCACCTCCAGTAGCGTCAGCAGCACCAGCAGCACCTCCAGTAGTAGCAGCACCTCCAGCAGCTCCAGCAGCACCAGCAGCACCAGCAGCACCACCAGCAGCAGCAGCACCTCCAGCAGCTCCAGCAGCTCCAGCACCAGCAGCACCTCCAGCAGCGCCAGCAGCACCGCCAGCAGCAGCACCTCCAGCAGCTCCAGCACCAGCAGCACCTCCAGTAGCGTCAGCAGCACCAGCACCAGCAGCACCTCCAGCAGCGTCAGTAGCACCAGCACCTCCAGTAGCTCCAGCAGCACCAGCAGCACCAGCAGCAGCAGCAGCACCTCCAGCAGCTCCAGCAGCTGCAGCACCTCCAGCAGCGCCAGCAGCACCGCCAGCAGCAGCACCTCCAGCAGCTCCAGCACGAGCAGCACCTCCAGTAGCGCCAGCAGCACCGCCAGCAGCAGCAGCACCTCCAGCACCAGGGTCCGCGACACTAGGAGCGCCACTCCGGAGACTGAAGCGCCGAGCGTACCACTCTCGGAGCCGCTGGGGAGAGGGCAGCTCCCGCCTAGGAGGGGAAGCACTAGCACCAGCTCCAGCAGCACTCCTAGCTCCAGAAGCACCTCTCCTGAGGCTGCAGTACTATAAGTACCACTCACGCAGCTGCTGTGAGGAGAGAGCTCCTCCAGGTGGAGCACTCCCAGGCTCAGAACCTCCAGACTCAGCACCCCCAGACTCAGCACCCGCAGGCTCCGCACCCCCAGGCTCAGCACCCCCAGACTCCGCAACCCCAGGCTCCGCACCCCCAGGCTCCGCACCCCCAGGCTCCGCACGCTCAGGCTCAGCACCCCTAGCAGGACGAGAGTCGACAGCTACCTCGACAGGCTCAACCGGGTCTACCTGGGACACACCTGAGGGAGCGGCACCCTGAGGGGGGAGGGGGTCTACCACAGCAGCACCTGGCGCGAGGAAGAGAGGCGGGGGGGGGAGCGGGGCAGTGCGGTAGGGGAAGAGGCGGTAGTAAGGCACCGACTCGTCAAAAGTGACGTCCTGAGAGGGCAGGACACGGCGCGAGGTGGCGTGGTAAAACTGCCAACCAGACGCGTCCGGGACAAAGCCAAGGAAGACACAAGGAACAGCGCGGGAGGAGAGCTTGTCCGCGGACGTATCGCGGACAAAAGCTCGAGATCCCCAGACCCGGAAACGCGACGCATCGCCAACCTCCCCCGTCCACAGCAGTGTGGGCGAGGTCTCCGGCAAGGAGACACGGGGCCAGAGGTTGAGCTGATGCGCAGCGTTCCGGACCGCAAACGGCCACAGAAAGTGGGGGGGCAGCCGCATGGATCAAGGAGGTACGAGCGACCTCCATGACCAAGCCAATGCGGCGCTCAGCAACCCCATTCTGCCGTGGAGAGGCCGGAAGCGTGAACGACTGGCGGATGCCGTGCTCCGCACAGTAGGCTGCCAAGAGGTCGGAGGAGAACTCACCACCTCTGTCAGAGTGCAGACGCAAGACAGGAAAGTCCGAGTGGAACCGCTCGCTGAGCGGGAGACGAGAAGCGCCGATCCAAGGGATCAAAACATCAGGGACCTCACCCTTGGTGCGCAAGGGGAAGACCGTGGTGTAGCGCGAGTAGTCGTCAACAACGATCAGGAAGTACCTCTCCTGACCCTGTCCACGGACGCGGGCTGGGCCCCACACGTCCATGTGGAGCGTCTGCAAGGGAGCAGTCGTCGGGGGAAACGAGGAGGAGTGAGGAGCGGCGCGCTGCCGCCCCTCGACACAAGGAAGACAGGGAGGAGCAGGCGAGGGTGGGAGGGGAGGGAGTACCCGGGGAAGACCAGAGACAAGGTACCGTTTATGCATGGCACGAAGGCGCTGCACTGACGGGTGACCAAGGCGGTGGTGCCAGAGGACGGTCTCGTGTGCTAGAGAGCGACACGAGCAGGGGGCAGACAGTTGACCTGAAGCAGACGCAGACGCAGCTACCTGAGGGGACTCAGTAGTCAGTGTGTACAAG